TTGAAATCTACATAGTAGAACCAGCTATCTCAAGATCCGCGTGGCAAAGAGCGAACACGTGCAAGCTGATCAAAACAAACATTCCAACACAGTAACGAACTTTATTCTAAGGAGTAAGCCGGCCACCAGCATTCTAACTCGGGACCCAAAACCGTAGGTTAATTTAGCAAGCAATATCTGTATTTCAATTGTAGTACCGTTGAACTATAATTTTGCTTTTTCGACTCTTACTCAGAAAGGCTCAAGCATTTCATTTAGGTGTAAATACCTATACATTACACAACTTTCAAAGATTATTCAACTGCTTATTCCACCACTGAAATACTACAAATAGTGAGTGGCGCATCGCTCCCTACAACAAGCTGCATCGATTGCAGCCATCACTACACATCGACTGCATATCAGTCTTTCTTAATTTAGTATTTTTGCAAATAAATGTGCCTGTTCAAGAGTTAAAACGTAGAGAGTATAACTCTTGGAATGCTTTCTCTCTCTCTTGCGGATGTAGTAAGTTGTGCCTGTACGTGGAGAGCGTTCCTCTAAGTCTTGTAATTGGAGATATCACGGCAGCCTTTGCTAACTCTCTTCCCAATACCCTTCTAATTATACCATTTAGTCCCAGTTTATGGTGGTTGTTATGAGACCTCATTTCTTCGCTTTTACGACTACGACCTCTCCTTCCTGCGAAACTGGGATTCCGCGCAAACGAAGTAGTAGGATGATTAAAAAAAATTTTTTTTTGCGGCTACACAAAAGTCGATGAGGTTAACGTCGGTTTACTATGATGTTGTCTATCTTGTGTTGCTCTTCATTGAAGGTGACATGTAGAGCAGAGGTCGGAGGCGGCCTGCAACACACACGTGGAATCGACCCCTGCGCCCATGGCCCACCAAGCCTTCCATCCTTTTAGGGTTGGAAAATTGGTACCAGACTTGTCTGAGAGGATAGCAGCACTGGCTCGATATGTTTGTGGTTAGGTCACCGTGAGTTATTATATAGGCCGGATATGCATTCAATCAACCTCTAACAGTGATTAATCAAGTCAAATGCATGGCACATGCCTTGAGGATTAATCACATCCGAGAGCCTTATCCTTATCACTTAATTAGAAAACATCCATACTTAATCATGTGAGTGTCTTTTTTGAAAATTCCGGTTACCAGGTTGCTCGGGAATTAATGTCCTTCGTTTTTTTTGTATATGTATTAGGAATAGCTTTTCTTCCCACTGCCGTACCATTAAGCACTATTGTAAAGCACGTTTTATGCACTTTCGCTATGTACATCTGAGCTACAGTAAAAGAAATTGTTTTGACAAATTTCACAGACCAGAATCAGCTGTCAGTCGAATTTAATGGAAGCAAATACATGCACAAAGGTTTTATAACTTGTAGGCAAACTCTGCGTAAGCACCTCAACTGTTTAGAGGCATCTAATGATAAGCGAAAAGTCGAGGAGACTCGAAAACTGAATTCGGTACGAAGTGAATAACCATCAAGAAAATCTCCATTTTAAAGTGTTTTCAGAGCTTATTCTGGGCAATCAGAACGTCCCGTCTCATCGTATAGCGTCTTGCGACGAGAAATGGATTATCTGTGACAATCGAAAACGATTGGTTCAGCGTCTGAACCACAGTGAAGCTCCGCATGGTGCCCTGAAGTCGAAATCGCTCCGAAAGGAAGTCGATTGACCACTTGGTGGTTTGCTGCTAATCTAATCCGTCACTGCTTCTTGAATCCGGCTGAAGGGACTACGGCCGCGCCATAGACTTTGAGGACTGTGCTCTTCATTGGTGAACAGAATGGGAACAATATTTCTTAACGATAATACGCGGCCGCAAGTAGCACTAGCACCATGGTCCCTAGACCTCTTGGGGAGTGCCTACTACTTAGTACATTTTCTATGACCTTCTGAGCAGGAATTGCTCCAGGGAGTAAGTCAAGGCTTAAATTTTCTTCAGTAGCCTCACCGCTTCCAGAAGGCCAAAATTTACTGCAAAAAGTGGAAATAAAGCTGCTTTCCAATAATTTTATATATGGTTGAGATAACACGAGGTTGGTAATATACAATGAACTTTTGTTCGGCTGAAGTTTCGGTGCCTTCGCTTTCATCAGAACTGCGTAGATCCGAGTTGATCAAATAGTTCTTATTTCATTTATCACAGTTCACTTTGAGATATGTCACTTTGAAAATACAGGTTGGAACCGACCGTTAATCTGAAAATCCAGTGGCATGGATAGTCTTGGTCACCATGGTAAACTCAGAGTATTTAACCTTATGCTGCGCTATGTCCTAGTAGGAACCAAGAGGTTGTTTGTTGACGTCAGCTCCCAACCACCTCTCACACCTTTCAAATCGCTTAATTGGAGGCTTTTGTCAGAATTGATGTGTAGGATACAATTCGTACATCCCCGCATGAAAGCTAATACAGCAAAGGCCATCTACGTACGCATAGAAGATTACGTACTCAGAGCGTTTATGCCGAGTTCAATTTTGAGTGCACACGAGGTCGAAGCGCTTGTCTGAGCACGATCTATTTCGAAGGTACGGAATCAACGATCACAGTGACGACCATCATGCTTAGTAAACAGTGATGAAATGATCCTTCACAGGTCTTGTAGTCATCGACCAGTGGTCGAAGAATTTGTAGAGATCGCTGGTGAGTTAAATGTCGACTCCTCTCGAGTCAGCTGTGATCATTGACTTTAAAGCAAGAATATGTCACAACGTTGCTGAGATATTTGCAAAACTCTGGACCGCAGGTGTCTATAGTGGGGAACGAACGCGCTATTATCCTTTCCGGGGAGTAACGCGTTCACCACCACACCATGCGGGTCCTTTGTTTCGCACGTCTCTCAGCTACGTCTCTATCAGCACTTACTTACTTGGATAGTTGGACGGTCCGTTTTCACGAGCTGTCCGGACTCCAGCACATATGCCATTCGTTCCTTTCTCTCGCAATCGTACTCCATGGTGATGGTCTTGTTCGAGCATGGTAGCGCTTGCGAGTCTCATACTGTGATCTGTAAAACAACTGCAGCTGCGGGTATAGCTGATTAACTTTGTTTACGAACACTTGGAGTCCACTCTGCTGCTCTTTTCGTCCATCTGTCGTCTGTTCTTCTCATTATGTGAGCGGCCCATCTGTTTCGCGATTGATGTATATTCTCCTGAATCTCGAAGATGTGACAGATTTCGAAGGTCAGAGCTTCGCATTCCGGCAACATGTTGAGAGTGCCAGTTATGTTTCAGAAGACATCACTCAAGCGCTCTGTGAGTAGTGTGAAGCATTCTTGACGTGGTTGAAGTATCAACCCACGTCTCTGCAGCATAACAGAGCACTGGGAGGACCGTAGACTCAAAGAGATGAGCGCGGATTTTCGGGTCCTTCAGTTGGTCGGTGGCTTCTTTGAGAGGCTCGTTTGCGGCAGAAGATGCTACCCTTCTTCTATCTAGTTCCATCTTCATGCTGTTTTCTATGTTCATTGATCGCCCAAGGTATACGTACTGGATGGTCTCTGCAATGAGAGAGCCATCCAATTCAACTTTTTCGCCTTCGCACCATGGGTTTTTCATGAACTGGGTCTCCTTTCGACTTATACGAAGTCCGATCTTTTTCCCCGTTTCGATGAACGGAAAAGATTGGTGTAGAAATGTTTCCGCTATTAATTCCATATCATCGCGGAAAGTTTTGATGATCCTATCTTCACCTTTTTTATCTACAGCCTATTCTTTTTAATAGCAGTGTATGCTGCGAAATATAACTTCTATAATGCTGAGATATTTGCAAAACTCCGGACCGCAGGTATATGTGGTGGAGAACGAACCTGTGGTTCGGAATTTTGCAAATAACTCAGCATTATAGAAGCTGGATGCCATATTCGTTCATCAAGGCTGACAGCGGAACATTATAACCACACAAGTTCTGACGGCATTTTTTCAGACTGCTTCTTTTCTCTGCTGTTTCCAGTAGTTTCTTCTGCTTGCACCGTTGCAGATCTTCCTGCAAAGCTCTTCTGCAGCTTTGCTTTTATCTCAGATAGTTTCTAACCCTAACGGTGTTCCATCAGAAAACACGCATCAAAGGAAATGCTCTCGGAAGCACAAATCGGTATTGGACCCTGTTAAGCTGAGGCTGTAGTCGAAATTACAATTCCAAACCGTTTAATTTTCCTACAGCCTCAGCTTAACTGGGTTCGACGTCGATTTGTGTTTCCCAGATCATTGCCGTTGATAGGTTATTACTAACGGCACCGCTAGAGTTGGAAGCTGGCTAGGAGAAAGACCAATTAAAGACCTCAGTGGTTTGGGAGGTAAAATGTGAGCCCCCAGAAACCGTAATCGCTGATTCGAATCTGGCCTGGGCTCCACGTTTTGCAGATACCTCTGCATCACTGTGCACTGTGGTTATAGTTCAAATAATACCCTGGCGTGACAAATGTAGGCAGTAAGTGAAGATCTGAACTTTGCCTTATCTCCGAATGCTTCACCTACGTCTGCCTAGGTCGGAAAATCAACATTATGAACGACTTGGCTCCAAAGTTGAGCAGGAGGAAAGGAGCGGTTTGAGTAGCCTTCAAGAGCATCGAGAACTGCACTGAGGAGAACAACGAGCACCCGACTCCGTGCCCACCTTTTCGACTCAACGGTACTTCCTGTCCTAACGTATGCGTCAGAAATCTGGTCGCTGCGTAAGCAGGATGAAAGGTCACTCAGTGTTATCGAACGCGCAGTCGAAAGGACGATGCTAGGAGTATCCCGTTCCACATAAGTGAGAGATGGGATCCGAAGCTCCGATCTGCGTCAACGATCAAAAATCAAGGATGCCGTTCTGTACGCCAAACAGTCGAAGATAAGGTGGGCCGGACACATAATGCGTATGAACGACAACCGATGGACAAGAGCTGTTAGTGACTGAATTTCTCGGCGTGCCAAACGCTACTGCAGGAACACCACCGACCCGATGGCCAGAGTTCTTCGCGAAGAGACTAGAAGAAAGATATGATGCTCGACGAGTCCCTAGAGCGAGCAGAACCCACTGGGCTACTCTTGCACGTGACAGGGAAAAATGGGAGATTTACTGGCGCCCGCTCGAGTCACCCGACGATGAACGGAGCCACAGGTGATACAGGTGATAGTGGAGCACGCTCTGCTCACTCGACGATTAACGGAACAATGGGTGATACAGCTGATCTGGCAAAAAGAGCCTAACAAAGACGTGTGCTGAGCGTTCCAGAATGTGCAAGAAGGGCATTCCGAACATATCAGCTCGGGAGAAAGTGTGCTCTGTTGCCGTTTCCCAGTCTGTCGACGTTCTCTCTACTGTTCTTCCTAATTTCCCCCTAAACTTGCCAGTTCCCAGTCTACTTCGTACAGATGTTCGTGGATTTTGCTTTGTAAATAATAGTTCAGAATTGTGATTCGAGTTTGCTTCTGTTGTTTGTAGGCGACGGAAGGAGTAGCCATGGATTCTGGTCTCTGGAAATGAGAATGCTTAAGGACGAGCGCGACCATAAAGTAGTCTGGTATAACGACGTGGTGGCAAACAGTGAAGTAAAAGTGGTAAAGCGTAAAGAAGACGAAGCATCGAGCTCAGAGGTGTGTGTAGTAAAATGAGTCGTCCTAAAAATTGGTCCATATGTTCATCTTTTTATGCTGAGATTATAGTTGAACATAAATATTTATAAGGTTAAAAGGTGTTTTTCTTGAGCTAAACAAAATCTCCGCTTGAAATCAGATCTTCGTGGACCAGTCTTCATGTGCAGTTCCAGGGTTGTCTTTTAGGTAATCTCATGTGCATATGCCCCCCTACCCAACGGTTTACCGCCTCATCGTGTCTGGAAGGTGTTTCTCGGTCCCGGGTTATGACCCAGAGGAGGATTCATCCCCCTCCTAGGGTCTTCCAAACTGGGAAGGGGTTTGCTGTTTCCACCAAGAAACCCAACTGAGAGTAAACCAATACCAGGATCCACCACCGTCCTGGTATCAAAGTCGCATTGTGACAGATCCCCTTTGATCCACAAGGACGGCGACTGCTTATGGTGGTGACGACCTGGGCAAACTTAGGCCTAGCTGACCCCTTGACTTTAGGAAACCACAGTGGCTAGACCAGCAGAACTCCGAATCAATGGAAATTATGTTGAGGGCCGCACAATCAGTGAAGACGGGCACTATCCAAGTATCCATATGCGCATGACTCCTGGAATTTTCTACCCACTTCGTTCCGTTTTACTCTATTTGATACGACAAGACGTCACACATTGTGCTCATCTGAGGACTCGTAATTAGTTTTTTCATTGCATCCATCATTCATGGTTGTTTCCCGGTTTCCGTTTTGTTCCAGTAGTGTTTGAGGATGTAGTATACTCTTCTTTATGAACGTCTTTCAATGCTCGTTGAGTTTAATCTTCCTGGAATCTAGGGATAGTCGTGCTAAGGCATTCCCAAGTCTTCATGATAGGCACTTGCCAACTGTTGTGGATTTGAGGCAGCGAGTTGATTACAAACAACACCGGTACCGAGCTCCGGACTAAACGATGTCGAACACATATTGAACGACATCACTACGTCTTTTTTATTTGTACAAACTTTTCATCCACACTTGTTTGTGGCTAGAAAACTGATATTCTGTTTCACGAAGGAGAGTTTCACTTAGCCCATCATGCCACTGGCCTTACAATTGTTCCATCACCTACAACGTTTTCGTTAAAAGCAAAATAAAAGTCTTATAGTTAAGGTGAAAATAAGAGCGCTTTAAAGCTCGATTAGATTGGTTGACATTCATTTTTCGAGATTAATATTTCGCCTCATCGTTGTGCTGCTGGTTTAATAGTTTTTTTTCTCATACTAAGTCAGTCCTGTTAGAGGTCCACAAGTACTTTTCCTTGTAAATCTAAAGGAAATAAGTTTCTGCAGTAAAGCAACGATTATTGGTAATACTTTTCTCTTCGATAGACTTCCGGATGTGAATGTCAAGTTACTTCTTAATTTGGATAATATTCTCGCAGTAAATAGAAAGGATAAAGCTCTAGGTGTTGATCAATCCTGAGGGATACGTCATGCATTCGTCTTCATTATGCAATGTTAGAGCCGATTGAATGCAAATCTGACCTTTACAATGACTCGTGTTGGTCTACCAATGTATCAAGCCAATGCTGCTGTCCTCCCAGACAATTCTGGTACCAATTTGCTGACTCCGGAGTGATAGAAAGCTCGGTGAACCAGAGGCGCGGGATTGATCCCATGTATGTTGCAGGGCGCCTCCGACCACTGCGCAACACGAACCGCTCGTCACAGTAATTGGGGACAAACCTAGGTGAACATGATTTAACCTTCAAAAGTACGTCTTTAATCGGTATTCTTCATCATTTGCGGTGTTTTATTTTACAAAACTTAGGGAATACCTTTTGTTGGTAAAGTGGGAATAGTTTCTTTGTGTAGACTAGTTAAACAAGAGCTCTAAACTGGACGTTTAAAGTTCTGACTAATTTTTTCCGTAACAAGTATTCAACTATGCCTTCTTATTCCTTGTTCTCATACAGTCTTACATAATAGAAGTAATGTTTTTAGAGCTGCCCACTGAAGAAGAAGCGCGTCACAATTAAGGAAGAAGAGCATGAAGAACCTTTTCCAATGAATGTATCAACCGAAATTCGTGAAGGTAGGGCTTCACATATGAGTTAATTGCTCAGTACGCCTCTTTTCCTTTGCTTAGGGTTTTTGACAGAGAACACACTAGTTTCGTTTATCGTATATAAAGAGATGCTAAATGCCGCAGGCGTCTGCGGTGGGAATCGAACACGCTATTACCCTTTCCAAGGGCTAACGTCGCCTCTCTCTCTGCTAGTTTTTCTGTCTGCCAATGCCATCAGCAATCATCCGTCAACGGGATTGATCCGAGGAGCACAAATTGGCATTGAACCCTGTTAAGCTGATGCTCTGTTCTTGCTCTGTCACATTCACTGGATTTCTCATATCCAATTGTACTTTTAAATCGTTTCAATTTCTATGAATCTAGCTTGTGTTAGCTCCGAAGAAATGGAAGCTTTGGGTATGAAAGAAGGTTTCCAGTAGACTTTAAGCGAGTGCAACTAGTATCTTTTTGAATCTTACGGCTATAGTGGACGTATTTTAATGAAGAAAACAAATAGTGGCAGCTGTAGTTGATCACCCGCTTCGTAAAGGTAGTTTTTAAATGATTCATTATGCGATTATTTTTGTTGCCATTGAACAAATGTATTTCCAACTGTTTTTTTCTAAAGTGTCTTACACATGCCATAGAATATTAGCATGTCCTGTAACACTCTCGGTTTGGACATAAAATTACGTACTCTTGGAATTTTGCTAGGTCTTTCAGAACATTTATATGATCTTTCATTGTTTTTTTCTCAAAGAAAGAATTCAGGACGTATTCCTTCATTAAGCGAACGTTTGTTTTTAGGTGTTCGTTACTTAGCCCCTTACTGGGCTGTGTATCGAACGAGAGCGAAAGGAAGGTGGGTAGGAAGAAGAATGGTTGACGTATTTGCTCAAGAGTTTCTGTCTCTTAATAGGAACTATCCCGTAGGTTCATTTTCCTAACAGTGTTTTTTCTTCAAATTAAGTCTTTATTTAGTAAAATTGACAATTTAAGGACATGTGATGTAGTCGATCAAGATTTCTATTATCTTTTCTGTTCATTTTATGTTTATGGCTTTATAATCAGTTAATTTGATATGGCGTTTTCAAATTTGTTGGGGATTAGCCGTGACTTTGTGAGTCGTATAGGCTTCATACGTGGTCAAAACGATTCCTCCTTCCAACTTTAGACAAATATGTCTCATTTCGTAGTAAACTTGTTTGATGAAAGTAGAAAAAATTACGATTTATAGGTCTTACTTACAAGGGAAAACTGACCGTAACGATTGAAGGTCCATATTAACCTCAATCACAGGGTCAATGTGGAATGAGGTCGGCTAGTGACCTACGTAGCAAAAGGTGCCACGGCAGGAATAGTTTCAAAAATATCCTCGATAGGTATTTTAAATCGCAGAGATTCTTCTGGAAAGGATGTTCCTGAAATTTTTCAAAAATAGCATATTATTGACCATGGTAAGAAATATATCAGTGAGTAGTTTTGTCAATTCTATTATCCGTGGTAAGTTGTTCGTCTAATTGAAGGTACAGTCGCTATGATCCAGAAAGAATACTAGTGGTGAGTATGCGACTTCCTGGATCCACAGGAACCTGCTACTCCATGTTGTGAACGACTAGGAACACTGTAGCAACGTATCTCTGGATTCTGAGGGAAGCCGCGCCCAAAAGAAAGTTGACATGTCAGTGAAGAGGAAAGCATGCAGATTCTTAAACAGGAATCGAACCTAAGACAATCCCCTCTACATATAGCAGGTAAAGGGCAACAAAGCAAATGGTTTAAGTCCTACACGACATGGGAGTGCAGGCCTTTTGAGTAGTTAAGTCAGTCATTAACTAAAATTCAGTTCTGATTAAACAAATACAGAGAGTTGAACTGTGTTAGAAATAGACAAGTGTTCAGTCCCAGCATAGTATACCTTTGTCACTACACTTTTATTATTAATCTCCGTTCGTTGTATTCTTTATCCACTAATGTCTTTGGATTTGCATGCAGCAGCTGGTTGAGGACGTTGCTCTTTTTCACGCGTGTAGTTGAACGATAATCGAGTCGATCATCTCTGGAATCATGGGATATCCGTACTGTGAATCTCTCACCGCAAGCACTCACCAGGTTTTGTAGACAGCAAGTAGCGTGATGACTCCAGACAAGTCCGATACCTATTCATTGGTTTCGTAAGGATAGCGGTTGTTTGGCCCGAAGTTGGTCAAAGTATCGTTTTTATATATTCATAAGCGTTGTGCTCATACGAGAGTGTTAATGTTAACATTTAAAACCAAGAAACTTTAACTGGAATATTCAAAGAAATTGGTAGTGTTGTTAGTTTTTTGATAATTTTCTTTAATAATAAATCTTCGGTTGAAAACAGAGCGGCCTAAAACGAACATTTTTGCAAATCGATACAGTGACAATAATAAAAGCCATATATTACTACTAATAAAAGTTTAGTAGTAGTAGTGGTAGTACTACTACTACCCTCCCAACGGTTTACCGCCCCATCGTGGCAGGGAGGAGTTCCTGGGTGTCGGGCTGCGATGTACAGCGGATGATTCTCTCCACAGCAGGGTCTCCCAAGCTGAGAAGGAGTCCGGCGTTTCCATTAGAAACTCCAGCTAAAAGTAAACCAATACCAGGATCCACCACCGTCTAGGTATCAAACTAGTGGCATGGTGACAAATTTCGCTCTGATCTGCAACAGCGGAAAAGCAGCGATTGCTCCTGGTCGTGTCGACCTGAGGCAGACATTGGCTAGGTTGACCTCGGGAATCCAGCCAACCACTATGGCTGAACCAGCGAAACTCTGGAAAAGTGGAAATTATGATGGAGCCCGCACAACCAGTGAAAGTAGACAATCCAAGTGTCCAAATAAGTATATTAGTACTACGCACACTTTTTAATGCTTTCTTAGAATAAATTTGTATCATAGGAACGTTCAATGACCTAGCCGCAGCTAATCTCTGGATATAATTTGTGAAAAGAATCGTTGTCGCAAAATTGTGACGAACTTTATTTCTATTGTGGGAACTGATGAATGGCGTCATAAGCGACTGAGTGAGTGTATGAGTGAAAATTCAACATCTTTTTTCAACACGTTACATCTTGAGTTAGTTAGAAGTTAATGATCGTTGTCATGATATCAAAATTTTGCAGTATCTTACATCTTATCTTATATCTTACAGTATTTGTCATCCTACACGAGTTATTAACTCGATACAGTGACAATAATAAAAGCCATATATTACTAATAAAGTTTGGTAGTAGTAGTGGTAGTACTACTACTACCCTCCCAACGGTTTACCGCCCCATCGGTTTATCAAAGGAAAAATACATATTGACTAATCATATCTAGTTGGAAGTCTGCTGAGAAACCAAGCTTGTTTTTTGCAGTACATTCCACTTGTTGCATGTAGGTACTGAGTCAGTTGGAAACTGAAGCCAAGTTGTTGGCGACTGTGAAAAGGTCCTCGTACCTGATAAAAGCTTCATGCGTCTGATATACTTACTTGGATACTTGGCTGGCACGTCTTCACTAGTTATGCGGCCTCCAGCATAATTTCGATTATTCTGGAGTTTTACTGACTCAGCTATTACGGTTCCCTGGTGTTCTGAGGTCAACCACGCCAGGGTCTGGCCTAAGTCATCACCACAGGCAATTGCCGTCCTCGTGGATGAAAGGTAGATTTGGGACCTTGCGACTATTGTGATATCAGGACGGTGGTGATTTCTGGTATTGGTTTACTTTTAGCTGGATTTCCTGTTGGAAACTCCGGACTTCTCAGCCTAGCAGGCCCTGCTGAGGGGATGAATGCCTCGCTATGCAATGCATGCCGACACCCAGGAACACCTCAACGATGAGGCGGTGAGCCGTTAGGAGGATACATCTGATATGTTGTATCTAATGACTTTTCTTTTGAAACTCATTTTAGGCCAAGTTATAATTAAAGAAAAGTGATAAGAGCAGCTTGTTTCGTGCGTCTCAATGCTATAATGACAATTAACTACAGCTCAAGCTCTGAGCATGCGCTTTCTCTCTTCACATTTCTTCAATGTTTTTACCTCTTCAATGCTATTCTCCTCACATTCCAGAAGATAGCGTGCAAACTTGGCCGGATTTATATCAACGGCAAGCAGATGTTAGATGTTGACTATGTGTTGAAAAATGGCGATTCTATACATCACTGGGGACACCGACATGAACACCCAGTTCGTTTCTTTCATCACGTTTTCATTTCGAAACCACATTTTTGCATCGGAAAATCGGTTCTTGTTAGTAAAATATTCTCTCTATACATATTAGGCCTTCATAGTTGTAAATCGCTGTGTTAGTATGATAACTAACATTTAGTTGTTTTCTGTTTTCTTCTTCTAATTGTTAATTTTTTGTGATGAACAAGATGTTAGTATACTATGAATGTGAAATTGAGTCCCTCATATTCTCTCCGTACCGATTTCAATCTGTCCACAGTGCATATAGTGTATGTTTGTGTTTAATAACTTTTCAAAGCCCATAATCGAGTTTAAAGTAGCACAGAAAATGGAAGTATTTGGTGGGCCTAAAAATAATAGTTCTGAGATATGCGATCAAGAGGGTAGTCATACACAGTTTCTTGCTGGATTACTAAACTATGTCATTTCGCTCTGGACCGCAGATGTCTATGGTGGGGAACGAACGCGCTATTGTCCTTTCCGGGGAGTAACGCGTTTACCATCACACCATGCGGGTCCTTTGTTTCGCCTGTCTCTCAGCAATTTCTATCGATCTTTGCCACAGCAACCACCCGTCAGCGGGATTGATCTGGGTCACCCAAATCGGCATAGAACCCGGCTGCGGCTGGAGTTGAAATCACAATGTTATACCTTTTTATATTCTGCCTACTATAATTTCGCGGCAGGGTACTAAGCGAACCTGCATGGTGTGGTGGTGAACGCGTTACTCCTCGGAAAG